GCCAACTTTTGTTATCTGATTCCTGTCACAGAGAAATGATTTTATCCAGCTCAGGAGAGGGTCACATATCCCTAGTGAGCATAACCTGCTGACTAGCAGATTATGGGGGACTCTATCGAAGGCTTTTGTTATATCGAAATATAGCACAATTACTAGTTCTCTGTTGTCCCTGCTTCGTGTAACTTCATTGAAAAAGTCTATGTGACAGGTCGCACATGATCTCTTTTTGAGGAATCCGTGTTGTGATGGGTTGATAAGTTCATGTTCTAGTAAGTTGTCTGACACTTGGTCTTTAACCACTTTCTCCATTATTCGTGATATTACCGGTGTTATATTAATAGGTCTATAGTTGCATGCACTGGTTTTGGCCCCTGCTTTGTGCTTAGGTAATATGTATGTGGTTTTCCACACTTCAGGATAAGTTCCAGTTTCCAGTGACAGAGTAAATATTCTAAGTAACAAGACTACCATTTCCGTGCTACCATTTTTGTATATGACAGATGGTATGTCGTCTGTTCCAGTACTGCCATTTGACTTCAATGTCTTAATCGCTGAGTCTATATTTTGTATATTAAAATCTATTTCTCCTAATTTGTGGTTACTTTTGCAGGTCATTTGGAAATTTGGGGTCGGGTGCACTCTGGTGTCATTGCAAAACCACTCACTGAGGAGTTCACTTATAACCTGGGGATCGTTGTATATTATACCCCTATGTTCCAAGATGCTTACATTATTGTCTTTACTGCTTTTTAGACGTTTTTGCAATATCCTACAAAGTTCCTGAGTTTTGGTGTTACCCATTAGCGCTTTATTTTCCTCATGTTGTGACTTCATTTTGTGTTTTTCTTCAAGCAGTTTAAGAGTTTCATGTATTTGGTTTAACGCATTAAATTCCTTAAATACATGGTATTTCCTTTCCAATTTCTTTAGTTTTAGTCGCGTTTTCCGGTCAATAAATGGAGTTGGTGTCTTTAGGGCAGATTTTAGGGGCGCGATTGTGTCTCTTGCTGAGCCAACTGTTTTGTAGAAAATCTCAAGTGATACTTCTAAGTCATTGTTGATGAAGTATTCTTCCCAGTCAGAACTTCTCAACAGATCTGATAGGAATTCCCAATCAGCATTCTTATAGTCCCTATATTGATAGCGCACCGGGGAATTTTTAGGTGTGTATTTAGTTGTTAGTCGGAGGGGTAGCATGCAGTACAATATGTTGTGATAGCTGTTGTCGAGTTTATTTCCCGCCTCTATCGAGATGGGCTCTATGCTATGACAGAGGATTAAGTCAAGAGTATTTTGGCTCCTTGTAGGGAGACGTACGCACTGCTTCCATCCTCCTATGTCTATAGCTTGTAGTAGCTCTTCATAGGATAAAGGAATTGAACCGACTGATCTCAGACTAAGTTATACATTTTTGCTGCTCGTATTCCTTTGCTGGGTCAGTAACTTCGGACCTCATCAGGTTCTGACTAGCCACTGCTGTGCTACCAAACTTGCTAGTGGATCTAAGCGGTGCTTTGGCCATTCCATCATCAGTCTATGTCCGCCAAGTCTCATAAACTGTCAATGTCCAGCTCTCACTAAACCAGACCTCAAGCAGTCGGTCGAAGACTTTCAGAAACGCATTGTAGTAACCAACGCCAAAAACAGAACACTGATTGGCGACTCAAAAAACCGTTATTCTCTCGGTAATATGTAGCCAACAAGAAGGTAGTTACACACAAGGACTAAGAATAAATGTTACAAAAAACATAATAATTCTGATAGTTTTTAAAATTCGTCTGAACAGAGAAACATAACAGAAAGAATGTCGGATAGACGATTCCAAAAAAATTATTGTCAGCCACGTCTCGTAAACAGTTAATGCCCAGCTCTTGCTGCACTCGGGCTCACGCTGTTCCATGAAGTTTCTCAGAAACGCCTAGTAATAACGGACGAAAAAACCAAAACACCGATTGGCCACTCGAGAATTCTTTGTTGTAACACCAACATATAAACACTGTTACAACTAAGGTCTGTGAACAAATATTACAATAATAAATCACAATATTACTTCTGACGGTTTTCTGCTGACTTCTTTCTGAACAGCGACCAATGAGACGATAACTGTCGTATTGATGCCTCCGCGAAAATTGGGGAAGTTGGTTTTGAGCAAATAACCATGAATTGATCGTTCAATCTTCAAGTACATTGAGAGATGTTATCTGAGATCACTCTGTAAATAATATCTTTCACCACTTCTCAGTGTTCATCTGCAGATAACTCATCAGTAAACATTACTGTATAACACTGTGAGATTTTATCAAAACAAAAATTTACCCATAATGGAATTATACTCTACCACAATGCACAAGTTTTTTTCTTATATCGATAACTCATCGCATCCTAAAGACCATTCTGCATCGGGCAAAAGCCCCCGCATTTCAGCGTAGTCCACCTTGCCATAGTACAAACATGGTCGCTCAATGTTCCACTACAAGCGCTCACGGAGAACAAGAACGAATCCTATGACTGCATGATCACTATTTCCTAGAAGAGTCATGATCTGGAACTTTCCGACGAGTAGTCAGCCACTAGTAAGAGTGTAATCTAGTTTCGATGACCTTTCACCGAGGCCCCGGTTGGTTTCGTCGCCAACTTTCTCAGTCAGTCCTGCATTTCGATTGGTCTGTAGCAGATTTAGACCTAATTTTCCCTGATCATTCTCCAAGCCAAGGTTCGGAGACGGGGCTCTGAAATCTCCAGCTATAGTGATCTGACCATAGCCCGAGTCCCGTGTCCCTGTGATGGTGCTGAGTAGTAGCCGGTTGTGCTATGCCCCACAAGTATGTGATCAGTGGTTGCCATCCAGTAAGTTCTTGGTGTGGCCCGTGGTGAAATGACACGATATGGAGTCTGGGAGTTCAATAAGTGATGGGTCCATTGAACCTACACATTTGAGTTGCTTTTCAAAGTATATGCTAACTTCCCCCTTCCTTGTTATCACTGTCTGTCCTGACCAGAACCATATCACTTATACTGATTTCGTTGTCTGCAACAGTGGGGGCTAGCCAAGTTTCAGCGAGAACGATTACTTTGAGGTGTAGATGTGACAGGATGTTTCTGAGTTCACACACTTTTCCTTCCAGTCCTCTCACACTGCTGTACAGGCGGCTGACAGTGAGTCTTACAACCCCAGTGTGATGTGCGGTAGTTGATGTTACGTTGTCTGCTGATAGGGAAATTAATATTGGGACTAGCTGGCCGATTGTAATGGAGCTGGCCGTTGTCGTTTTTTCCTTGTGTTCGGGTAGGAACTTGGGTGACGCTGAGTGACACTGTTATTTTCACTACCGTATCGCTCTACTGTCACTAGGACTCCAGGACACATTCAGACCTCAGTTTGCTGCTGCCTTATGATTCAGGGTCTGCTTTCGCAGCATCGGATGTGTCCTCCCATTTTCCCCCTGATCTCGTACCATCGTTCAAGTTCCTGGGTCAACTGTTCTGGGATTTCGATTTGACACTACGCAGCCTTGGGAAGCTACTCAAGTGGGATGAGTGGGACGAGGTAGTCGGGAAATGGAGATGGCTCCGGGAGAGCCACAAGCCATCTGAGGTGACAGTCATCCTCATTGCTGTACGTCGCGAGTGTGCCTTCCACCAACAGTTCCAGTTTCCAGCTCCGGAACACCATGTATGACCGTAGAGGTAGAAGACATCAGCTCCGGTGACTCCCTCGCTGAATTGATGTTCAGACCTAATTTATTCCACCAATGTTCCTGATCAAACAAGGCCCATTGTCAAAGCAAGCTATCCGTGCATACGGGTACATTAAATAAATAAATAGATTGATTCTCATGGTACAGTATATGAGGGACGCCAGTTTACAGGCAACATCAAATTGTTACAGAAATAGAACCATATTATTCAGTCACAATTTACAATCGATAGCAAAATATGTTTAACATGTACACTGGAGATTATACATACACTTGATAAATGTTAATCACAATAGTATAAAACATCCTTTTCACTTATGTACAATCCTTTCTGTGCATAGTTGGAAAAATCCGCTAGATTGTCAGTGAGTGCAACACATCAGGAAATACAGAAGTATTGTCTTCGCATTAACAAAAAAACCAGGTCTTTGGTGGATGGGTTATAAGTGCCTGGGAAAAAAATAAAGCTTGAAGTCAATTTTCGTACAATACTTTGTTGTGTGCAGAGTCTTTGAATTATAGTTCATTGATGTGTTATTTTGAAATCAGTGATATGTTTATCTCATTTGATCTGCAATGTCATTGTTGGGAGTAAAATACACAAGCTTTAGACGCATTAATTAATGGATTTCTACTGCTTGTGGGTATTTACTTCTCGTGAGGAAGGTTTTTGAATTTTAGTTGTTCCGACAGGAGTTGTGGATATTGACTGCTCAGCAACATTACGGATATAAGTTCATCACATTATCTCAGGAATGTTGGGTTGTAGTTGGTGAGGCATATATGATGTCCGACGAGCGTACATCTGTCCATGTGATGTTGTGGTGAGTTATATCTTTTTCATGTTGTCGGTTTATGTCCATTTTATTCCACTTATTGTGTTGGGTAGAAGTTTTACAAACGAAACTTCTTGTCTGTTTGAGGGTAAGTATCTTAATCGTTAATGTTTTATCTAAAATTATAAATATAGGCAAAAACAACAGGTGTAGTATTTGAGCTTATACATTAAATGGACCTATAATTTCGGAGGCTCTCAGATAGGAACTAGGACTACTGTCGTTTGCAAACTCGTGTAGTTTGTCGTTAAGCACTTTTTTGAATGAGGCCAATGTACCTGCTTGACGCATTTCCATTGGTAGTTTATTCCATATCTGTGCATACCTAATCAAATAAAACTTTTGCCTGGTAGCTGTTTTACATTGTTCGATAGCTACTGTACCCTTAGTGTGTCTTAGTTTGTAGCCACTGTCATCTGAAAGTCGAATGCCATTAGTAGAGGTAAAAACTAAGTGGTTTAGAAGCTTATAGTAAAGTGTTAAGTTTAGTCTCAGGCGTCTTAGCCATAGTGTTTCTAATCCTAGGGTGTCACATCTAGTGGAGTAGTTCGCACCATTTTCGGTTCCGAGTAATTTTGACGTGAAGTACCTCTGCACTCCCTCGACTTTCAATTTGTCCTCTATGCGTATACTACTATACATGAATGAACAGTAATCAAATAAAGGACGCACACAAACCTTGTACAACAGAATTCTGGACTCATTTCTGTAAAAGTTCCTGAGTAGAAAGCCGATAAGTCTGCGTGACTTTGACACTTGTTTGGAGATATGTTCAGAAAATGATAAGTCATGTGAGTATTTCAGTCCTAGGTCCAATACAGATTCCAGTCGTAAGAGTGCATGGCCTTGAATTGTCAGGTCAAGTTCTAAATTGTTGCAACCTATGCAGAGCCAGCCACATTTGTCGACATTAAACTGGAGTTGCCAGGTGTCACACCATCTATCCATTTTTTCTAATTCTTGCTGTATGGCGTTTACTGTTATTCCGAGATCTGTGTTCTTGCATTTATAGGTCACTTTTAAGTCATCTGCATATAGTATTGGTTTACCAACACTAAAGCATTCACAGATACTGTTTATATATATTATGAATAGGAGTGGGCCTAATACACTTCCCTGGATTACACCACTACTTACTGGTTTAGGCCTTGAGATTATCGAGCCAACTTTTGTTATCTGATTCCTGTCACAGAGAAATGATTTTATCCAGCTCAGGAGAGGGTCACATATCCCTAGTGAGCATAACCTGCTGACTAGCAGATTATGGGGGACTCTATCGAAGGCTTTTGTTATATCGAAATATAGCACAATTACTAGTTCTCTGTTGTCCCTGCTTCGTGTAACTTCATTGAAAAAGTCTATGTGACAGGTCACACATGATCTCTTTTTGAGGAATCCGTGTTGTGATGGGTTGATAAGTTCATGTTCTAGTAAGTTGTCTGACACTTGGTCTTTAACCACTTTCTCCATTATTCGTGATATTACCGGTGTTATATTAATAGGTCTATAGTTGCATGCACTGGTTTTGGCCCCTGCTTTGTGCTTAGGTAATATGTATGTGGTTTTCCACACTTCAGGATAAGTTCCAGTTTCCAGTGACAGAGTAAATATTCTAAGTAACAAGACTACCATTTCCGTGCTACCATTTTTGTATATGACAGATGGTATGTCGTCTGTTCCAGTACTGCCATTTGACTTCAATGTCTTAATCGCCGAGTCTATATTTTGTATATTAAAATCTATTTCTCCTAATTTGTGGTTACTTTTGCAGGTCATTTGGAAATTTGGGGTCGGGTGCACTCTGGTGTCATTGCAAAACCACTCACTGAGGAGTTCACTTATAACCTGGGGATCGTTGTATATTATACCCCTATGTTCCAAGATGCTTACATTATTGTCTTTACTGCTTTTTAGACGTTTTTGCAATATCCTACAAAGTTCCTGAGTTTTGGTGTTACCCATTAGCGCTTTATTTTCCTCATGTTGTGACTTCATTTTGTGTTTCTCTTCAAGCAGTTTAAGAGTTTCATGTATTTGGTTTAACGCATTAAATTCCTTAAATACATGGTATTTCCTTTCCAATTTCTTTAGTTTTAGTCGCGTTTTCCGGTCAATAAATGGAGTTGGTGTCTTTAGGGCAGATTTTAGGGGCGCGATTGTGTCTCTTGCTGAGCCAACTGTTTTGTAGAAAATCTCAAGTGATACTTCTAAGTTATTGTTGATGAAGTATTCTTCCCAGTCAGAACTTCTCAACAGATCTGATAGGAATTCCCAATCAGCATTCTTATAGTCCCTATATTGATAGCGCACCGGGGAATTTTTAGGTGTGTATTTAGTTGTTAGTCGGAGGGGTAGCATGCAGTACAATATGTTGTGATAACTGTTGTCGAGTTTATTTCCCGCCTCTATCGAGATGGGCTCTATGCTATGACAGAGGATTAAGTCAAGAGTATTTTGGCTCCTTGTAGGGAGGCGTACGCACTGCTTCCATCCTCCTATGTCTATAGCTTGTAGTAGCTCTTCATAGGATAAAGGAATTGAACCGACTGATCTCAGACTAAGTTATACATTTTTGCTGCTCGTATTCCTTTGCTGGGTCAGTAACTTCGGACCTCATCAGGTTCTGACTAGCCACTGCTGTGCTACCAAACTTGCTGGTGGATCCAAGCGGTGCTTTGGCCATTCCATCATCAGTCTATGTCCGCCAAGTCTCATAAACTGTCAATGTCCAGCTCTCACTAAACCAGACCTCAAGCAGTCGGTCGAAGACTTTCAGAAACGCATTGTAGTAACCAACGCCAAAAACAGAACACTGATTGGCGACTCAAAAAACCGTTATTCTCTCGGTAATATGTAGCCAACAAGAAGGTAGTTACACACAAGGACTAAGAATAAATGTTACAAAAAACATAATAATTCTGATAGTTTTTAAAATTCGTCTGAACAGAGAAACATAACAGAAAGAATGTCGGATAGACGATTCCAAAAAAATTATTGTCAGCCACGTCTCGTAAACAGTTAATGCCCAGCTCTTGCTGCACTCGGGCTCACGCTGTTCCATGAAGTTTCTCAGAAACGCCTAGTAATAACGGACGAAAAAACCAAAACACTGATTGGCCACTCGAGAATTCTTTGTTGTAACACCAACATATAAACACTGTTACAACTAAGGTCTGTGAACAAATATTACAATAATAAATCACAATATTACTTCTGACGGTTTTCTGCTGACTTCTTTCTGAACAGCGACCAATGAGATGATAACTGTCGTATTGATGCCTCCGCGAAAATTGGGGAAGTTGGTTTTGAGCAAATAACCATGAATTGATCGTTCAATCTTCAAGTACATTGAGAGATGTTATCTGAGATCACTCTGTAAATAATATCTTTCACCACTTCTCAGTGTTCATCTGCAGATAACTCATCAGTAAACATTACTGTATAACACTGTGAGATTTTATCAAAACAAAAATTTACCCATAATGGAATTATACTCTACCACAATGCACAAGTTTTTTTCTTATATCGATAACTCATCGCATCCTAAAGACCATTCTGCATCGGGCAAAAGCCCCCGCATTTCAGCGTAGTCCACCTTGCCATAGTACAAACATGGTCGCTCAATGTTCCACTACAAGCGCTCACGGAGAACAAGAACGAATCCTATGACTGCATGATCACTATTTCCTAGAAGAGTCATGATCTGGAACTTTCCGACGAGTAGTCAGCCACTAGTAAGAGTGTAATCTAGTTTCGATGACCTTTCACCGAGGCCCCGGTTGGTTTCGTCGCCAACTTTCTCAGTCAGTCCTGCATTTCGATTGGTCTGTAGCAGATTTAGACCTAATTTTCCCTGATCATTCTCCAAGCCAAGGTTCGGAGACGGGGCTCTGAAATCTCCAGCTATAGTGATCTGACCATAGCCCGAGTCCCGTGTCCCTGTGATGGTGCTGAGTAGTAGCCGGTTGTGCTATGCCCCACAAGTATGTGATCAGTGGTTGCCATCCAGTAAGTTCTTGGTGTGGCCCGTGGTGAAATGACACGATATGGAGTCTGGGAGTTCAATAAGTGATGGGTCCATTGAACCTACACATTTGAGTTGCTTTTCAAAGTATATGCTAACTTCCCCCTTCCTTGTTATCACTGTCTGTCCTGACCAGAACCATATCACTTATACTGATTTCGTTGTCTGCAACAGTGGGGGCTAGCCAAGTTTCAGCGAGAACGATTACTTTGAGGTGTAGATGTGACAGGATGTTTCTGAGTTCACACACTTTTCCTTCCAGTCCTCTCACACTGCTGTACAGGCGGCTGACAGTGAGTCTTACAACCCCAGTGTGATGTGCGGTAGTCGATGTTACGTTGTCTGCTGATAGGGAAATTAATATTGGGACTAGCTGGCCGATTGTAATGGAGCTGGCCGTTGTCGTTTTTTCCTTGTGTTCGGGTAGGAACTTGGGTGACGCTGAGTGACACTGTTATTTTCACTACCGTATCGCTCTACTGTCACTAGGACTCCAGGACACATTCAGACCTCAGTTTGCTGCTGCCTTATGATTCAGGGTCTGCTTTCGCAGCATCGGATGTGTCCTCCCATTTTCCCCCTGATCTCGTACCATCGTTCAAGTTCCTGGGTCAACTGTTCTGGGATTTCGATTTGACACTACGCAGCCTTGGGAAGCTACTCAAGTGGGATGAGTGGGACGAGGTAGTCGGGAAATGGAGATGGCTCCGGGAGAGCCACAAGCCATCTGAGGTGACAGTCATCCTCATTGCTGTACGTCGCGAGTGTGCCTTCCACCAACAGTTCCAGTTTCCAGCTCCGGAACACCATGTATGACCGTAGAGGTAGAAGACATCAGCTCCGGTGACTCCCTCGCTGAATTGATGTTCAGACCTAATTTATTCCACCAATGTTCCTGATCAAACAAGGCCCATTGTCAAAGCAAGCTATCCGTGCACACGGGTACATTAAATAAATAAATAGATTGATTCTCATGTACAGTATATGAGGGACGCCAGTTTACAGGCAACATCAAATTGTTACAGAAATAGAACCATATTATTCAGTCACAATTTACAATCGATAGCAAAATATGTTTAACATGTACACTGGAGATTATACATACACTTGATAAATGTTAATCACAATAATAATAATTATGTATATTCTCATATAAATATATAAATTTACATGAAAATGCATGCCATTTTTACAGGCACGATCAAGTATGATATAATATCAAATCGTAGATTGTCTACAAGTTAATAATGTTTCAACAGTTAAATATTTGATATATATATAAATACACATTGTCTGAACTAGGCTGTATAGTTATTGAATTGTACAATTGTCCTCCAGGTTGAGCGGGAAAATCGACTTCGTTTCGTTTTCATCCCGTGGTTGTCGGCATACGATAACCAACCAATATTGAGGTAAGTACAACGTTTACAAGGGATTGAAAGCTGTTTTAGAAAAGTAAAAGTGCTGAGGTGAATCATTAAATTGTAATGAAATAGGTAAGTGCAAGTATCATTAATAAATGCATTATTAAAGAAAACTCCCTAGGCTGACAACGTTCATTTGCAATGTATAATGCTACACGTATATCTCGTACTATCATGATGTCCACTTTTGGTTTTAATACATTTATCCTCAGTTGTGCCAGTTGTTTTTGTTTTATACCTTTTTGTGCATTTAATGTACAACCGTACCCTTCAGAGAGTAGGAATATAATAAGTCATAAAGAGCTGTAAAATGTTAGGTTTAATGGAATATAATGAGGATCAAGTAAAGACGTTATTGGAAAATGAATGAGATAAGACATTGTGAAGTGGTATTTAAAGATCAGTCAATGGACAGCAAGTTAGTTTATAAGATGCCCCATAAATCTGTGCACATCCCACATGGTCGCATCTCAACAATAGGCTGGGCGAATAGTATATATTTAGAGGTAGAAGCATGATCTGTCAAGGCGTTCATTATTATCTTTTTCAAGATAAAGATCTAAGCCCTCATAAAAATCAGAAATATCTCGAGCCTTTAATTTGTATATTGCTGTTCCTGCAGAATGGGGCGATTCACCTTAGTGACCCCCACCATATCTACTGATCAGCTAACGCCACCCTCCCTCCTTTTTTGATGTTAAGCTCTGAGACTATGATTATTATGGCTACCGCAAATATATTGCTTGGTACCAGACATGTTCGTACCTCATATTCCATCTCCCTAGCTTTCTTAATGAGTGCTTCCAATAGGTCTCCGCGTACATCTTTATGAACATTATATATGTATGCATGCGTCCTAATGAACAGATTACTTTACAAGAAGTTAGAACCTTAAAGAATAAAAAGAATAGGTTTTGTGAATAGTGAAGCAAGATTCAGCAGAACAATATAGTTAGGGATCAATGTAGGTAGTATGAACTGAAGGTAAGGTCGGTTGGCAGGACTTAGTGTACTAAATTATCATGACAGTCTTATATATAGTAACATTTGACATTGCAAAGTAACGTGTCTACATATATTATAAAAAGATATTAACAGAACCAACAAAATTTCAGCATTTGTTTAACAATACTACAGAAGGGTAGTTAGTACTACAGGTAGTCGTAAAGTAAATCAATCTATGTATAATAAGAGCATAGTCAGTGTCATA